AGTGCAACAACAAATTGTAATGTAGGACTAAATAAATTTGGCCGGCAGTACACCTGCAATGCCGCTGGTGTTGTGGGTGATCATGGGCGGCGGTAGTCACTTACCATCAGGTGAGCCGCATGCTCGTTTGCCCCCTGTGTTGTAAAAAAAAATCTAGTAGAAAAAGAAGTAAATGCAACCTCAAAAGTCTCAATACATTTCGCAGATTTGCTGTTCCATAAAATACGGTAAAAAATGTAGATTTTATAAGGTTTTCTATGCAACTTAGAATGGCAAAAAAGCTGACGTCCCACCTAATGGAAAGTAGTAATCGTCGCCTATAGACATGAGCAGTACCATGGACATAACAGAGTATACTGTTTCGACCATGACAACCTCTTTCCCCATGCGTTGAATAAGTGCCCGGTAATTTGAAAAGACCATAGATTAAGGATTATTAATCTATGACCCTGGCATTCTCTTTCTATGGAGCAGATGTTATATTGTTTTCTTTTCAATTTCATAAACTGCTTTCATTTAACTAGTATCTGCATTAAAATGTTATCGTTTAACGAATATCTACATGCTACCTACATTTTACTACCATATTTCAAATCGAGACATTTTTTAATTGGATTTAATGTGGAGTAATAAATTGTATCTACTAAATAAAGTAGTTGTTGTGTTAAAAAAAGTATTAGGTATATCGATTAAAAATCTATTTATCATTTTGTATTGCGTGTTCTCAGGAAACATAATATACTAACTTAACTATTGTTAAAAACAAATCATTATTTCATTACCACGCACGCACTATTTTATTATACTGGTTATTTTCATTGATCTTAATTCAACATTTTTGTGTTTCTAAACAATGAATAAAACCTTATCATAAATTGTATTTGAATAAAATTGTAATCTTATTTTTTAAAAAAATATATCAGACAAGATCTTTACGTTCAGAATTTAATCTAACAGGCTTTATGATCGTCATCAAAAATTACTCTTATTCTTACTTCTCTATTTACATGGAGCTAGTGAACTAACTTCAAAGATATCATATTTATTCGCTTGCTACATGGTACAATAAGAAGTTACTGAACATCACTGGTTGGTGGGAAAGGGATTGTTAATAATGGAGACTAAGAATCCCATTGCTAGCAATATACCCAACCAGGTCGACCTCCTCGTGGTACCCCCTGAAAACTATCATGATTAATTCCAGATGAATTCATCATGATGGGCTAACTGGCCTGTTTTCATTCTCATCGATCCCGTTAGCGCAGGCGGGGTTACCATTCCATTTTCATCCAATAAAAAAAAATAAGAAGTTACCTATACAAGTAGGTACATAGCATGCAGCGCCCCGTAGATGTATGCAAATGTTAAACTGTATTTAGTTTCTACATTATATATTATTACAACTCCGTTTTTCAAAATCTCTAAATGCACTTTGCTTTTGTACTTTTTTTTAGCCATTTCCATAAGAAGATTCACAATTCATGTTAATTTTCAATCGACTTCAAAACGAAGGTATTCAATTCAATTAAGGATAAGGAAAATTTATGAAGGTACTCAATTCGGTTGTATTTGCTATATGTTTGTGTCCGTGAGTTCTACACCGATTTGGAAAATTATTTGTCTGAAAGCATATACTTACAGATTAATCCCATAGAAATTTTATTAAAATCGATTTAGTGGTTTAGTTTTTAGTTCGAAATAACTGGTTTTGCCAAAATTCGTCTTTTTTTTAGTGGGACACAATTTTTAATTATTGTATGCCTATATTTCGGGTCTACACGGTCAATTCTGAACCGATTTGACATCGATCACGGCCAGAATCATCAGATATGTGCGCTGCTGTAAACGTCGAATTTTGAGCGAAACGGTGATGTAACACGTTTTTGTGATCACCTGCATTTATAATTCACTATATCATAGGGTTGGCATAACTAAAATGATTTAATTTTTTTTTATAATACACAGAATGACAAGCTGACGGCCAACCTGATGGAAAGTGGTAGTTTTCATAGTGATAATGGAATGATAACCCCGCCTGCGCTATCGGTATACGCTGGCAGGGCACCAATGGGTGGAGATAGATGAGGATGAAACCAGCTCCCTGCAGAGGTATTTCACATGAATATATATGAGGCTCTTCAAAAGGTTTCTTCAAGATTGCCAACGCGCACGTGACAGTTAGTGTTACAGGCGTCAGTAGGCTACAGTGAGCATGTACGGGTTGTATGCTTGTTTATCATCTTCGTGGTATAAAAAAAAATCATACATTCTCATTAAATTGTATTGAAACAGATAACCAAATGCCATGTTCGTATGCAATTCTATCAGCCCTACAGTATGTGCGAGAGCTGCGCCGGCGCAGTGAGGCATGCGCCCGCTCTAATTGGAGGCAGCCTATTATGTTGGTGTTATTATATTGTTCTCTCGCCGCTTCCGCTTGGCCCCGATTTTGACACATATATCGCGAATTTGTATTTATCCACATTTTTTTTGTAATAGCACAACATGTAACCACGTCGTCCTCAGCGAACAAAGGGGTGAAGGGAGGGAAGGGACTGGTAATAATGGAGACTAAGGGTTCCATTGCCATCAATATACCCAACCAGGTCGACATCCACGCGGTTCCCCCTTCACGATGACCAACTAGCTTGCTCTCACCCTCACTAATCATTTCTCACTGGTGAATTAAAAGATACAAGCGTACAGACTGCGGGAAGTGAATTTTTTATATTATGTAGAAATTATACCATTTCATATGATGGAAACTCACTTTATTAGCTCAATAGTAAATAAAAATTGCATAATTATGTGTATAAGTTTGTATTATATACAGATAAATATGTATGCGATGTTAAATTGAGCGACCGATACGACACAATGGTGAGTTCTGACGTCAATATTCCATAGTAATATTCTCTTGTCTATAGACTGTCTATTTACGGTGCAAGTGTTGGTAAAATGGAATAATTTAAACGAAAATTATGTACAATCTACGACCACTGTAGTAATTAAAAGAACGCCTACCGTAAGACTGGCAATTAACATTGTTATATCAGAAAATTGGGGCCAATTGTCTGGTTTAAATAAATTAAAATAATATTATTAAATTATTATGTCAGATTCCTAAGAAAATTAGGGCCAAGTGTTGAATTTAAATAAATTACAGAACATATCACAATACATCTCGATAAGAAAATTCGGAATGAACTTTATAAAATAATACTGATTACACTTATAAATAATGAGCTTATCGAGAAATATCAATTTTCATTAGTGAGAATTTAATTGATTTTTATATTTATTTTATTTTTATGCAACTTACAATGGCAAACAAGCTGACGGCCTACTTGTGAAGAAATAAGAGATCTGTTAGACTTTTTCAAAAGTAAATTTGTTAGACACTTGTCTTATGTCAATGGATAGCGCATTCCAGAGTCGTGAGGCTTCTACCGTGAAGGAATTAGAAAGAGAAACAGAACGATCGAGTGAAATAGAGAGAGGAAGAGAGTTTTTTTTAAATGGGAAATTATGGAATGGTAACCCCGCCTCCGCTATTGGTATACGCTGACGGGGCACCAGTTAAGGATGATAGGTAACGACGCAAGTAGTTCAATTAGTCCATCGTGATGAATTCAACAAAAATTAACCATGATGGTTTCCAGGGGGGGGGGGGGGGAAGACAATAAATAAAATATTGCAAAGTAACCTCAATTATCTACGTTGACGTATAGGCTGAGATCTTTATAAAGATATGTGGTAGTATTTACGTAGACAGAAGATGAAACGAATAGAATTATTTTAAGAGAAAAGGGTTGACAATTAAAATGCTTGATTATGAAGGTCTCTTTTATTACAGCAACATCGGTAGGAAAACATAGACTATAACAGAATTGTAAAACAAAAGACAATAGAAAATCAGTAAAAAAATATAAAAGGCTACTGGCCACTATTACGCCACATATTAATTAGACGATAAAATTTATTTAGATCTCCATTAAGAATAGGATAACACATCAGCATAATCAATATTGGGGAGAATAAGTGTTTAAACAAGTGTAATATTAAATTAAATTGTGAAAAATATACTTAAAACGATTAATTTACTGAAATGTGGCTATTAAAGAATAATTAACCTCAGCTATTTGTTTGGCCTGGCTCGATTTCGAAACTAATATAATACAGTTATATATTTACTTCAACACTATATAGCTTCAATATTAGTATAATATAATATTTTAGCGTAAGGTCATGTAACATAAACAACATTAATGTTACAAGGGCGCGCCGTCTATCGCGCTGATATGGTGCAAGTACTTCGAATAGCCGCTCAAGCTTTCTAATAATCTTACAAAAGACACATTTTTTACTCGTTAGAAGTTATTTAGTCACTTAAATAAAAAAAAAATACATCTATTAATACTTTCGATATAATAGAATAGCTTATTAGAATGATAGAAAAATGTATGCACTCATAATTATACGGGGAATGTAATAACTAGTACCTATTTACTGGCGTGTGGGTCGCACCGACTCGCGTGGCGAGTCCGGCCGTACAGGCTGTACACTGCTATAATAACCGAATCGACTCGCCAGGCGAGTTCTAACCAATTGGTGCAAAACTTTATACGAAAGTAATTATTCTATAATAAACAACTTCAAAAATGGGAAGATTCCTAATTTGCTTATATTTTTTTATATATTACTTGATGCTTTCGCCAATTGTAAACCGATTTTAATAATTCTTTTTGCAATTGATAGTGCCGTGTTGGTCCTGCATCTACTAATATTTCTCATCTAAAGTAGCTGTCTGGAACGAAAATCTAATTTTTTTATTGTGTAACTAATATCTTAATGGGAAATTTAATTAAAATTTAAATTAAACACATTATTTTTTATTGTAATTGTTTATTGTCTAAATTACATTATTACTAACATACAAGTATTTTTAACATTCTTAATATATCTTTGTACCGCTGTACTAGTGTTTACAACTGCAATATCTAAATAGCAGTACCTCTCTCCAAACTCCGTTTAAGGTCCGCCGTGTGCGCTCCGTAAAACTTTTCCAATTTTTTATTGAATCTGGCATTCCGTTCATTAATATAATCAACGTCGGCGTCATCGTTGTGAAAACGTCTCCGTGAGAACTTCGCTCTCTTTGCAATTTGCTGTTCCAAATCCATTACCATTCTGTCCACGGCCTCTTTTCGGTCTTCTTGCATGCCATGTATAATAACATTCGGTCCTCCGTAGAAAGCATCACCATATCTCTCTTTTTGTCTCTGGTAGTGCTCCATATCCACCGTAGGCATGTTCTTCACTAATCTATTATACTGACGCACGGTTGCTTGTTCGTATGTTGAGAACCCTTTATCGGGGTTTTTCTTGTTCTTTTTAAGTTTTATCTTTTTTTCAGCTTCAATTGCAGATATGTTGAGAAGTTTCACTCGATCATAATTTTTACCCTGCTTAGCCGCTGCCTCCCTTTTTTTCTGATCCTCAAGTACCCATTCAGCCTGGCGCCGTTTAGCTTCATAATTTGGTGGCAACTTGTTCCTCGCTGCTTCGGCGACGACCTCGTAGTGGTTATGCGCCCTCGCTTCGTTTCGGGCATTGTGTAATGAGCGCAGCCTTTTCAAACGTTCAACTTGCTTTTCCGCAAACGTCGTCTTCTTGGGAGATGAGGACGATGTTACCGCCGAATTCATTTCGATGAAATTATCGATTATGGGGTGAAACAAATACAAGGGCAATCGCTGACTTGATACAGCACGATCTTCTTCTAATTATTTTCTGCGAAGTGCGAAGGTCAAATTTTAAGAGAACTATGAGATCAACAGTGAGTCCTATTCAAGAATGAATGATAATGTACGTTTTGGCTGATTTATATAAAAGTTGGGTTATCGCTAACTTGTACTAGGTAACGCCATAGAGTCATACGCCTGTCCACCAATAAGCGCGAACCCCGTCATCGCCCTACCCCTGTAGGGGCGGGGCACTCGCTCTCGCTCCAACCGCCAACGCTGCCGTGCTTCCTAACCGGCGCACAAACTTCTCCACCGTCGGGATTCCGAGATCTTTGTGGATGATATCATTGCGGACATAACGACCAGCGTCTGTAAATAATTGATAATTGCATTGAAACTACTTCGTATATAATAATAGATTAGTGAAAAATAAGCCTGCAGTTAGCCGTGGATATGGAGCAGTATCAGAGACAAAAAGAAAAATATAGTGATGCTCTCTAAGAAGGTCCGAATTTTATTATACATGACTTACATGATGACCGAGAGGAGGCCGTGGACAGAATGGAATGAATAGTTTGGAACGCCAATTGCAAAAAGAGCGAAGTACTCATGGACACGTTTTTATAACGATGACGCCGACGTTGGTTATATTAATAAACAGAGTGCCAGATTCGATAGAAAAATTGGAAAAGTTTTACGGAGCGCATACGGTGGACCTTAAACGGAATTTGAAGTCAGGGACTGCTATTTAGATGATGCAGTTGTAAACACCAGTACAGGGTACAAAGATATATTGCGAATGTTAAAAATACTTATGTGTAATTTAAATTTTAATTCAATATCCCAATAAGAGATTAGTTACACAATACATAATTAAAATTTTCCTTCCGCATAAAAGACAGCGATTGATGACAAAGACAGTGATGAGAAATATTACTAGGTGTAGGACCAACACGGCACTATCAATTGCAAAAAGAATTATTAAAATCGGTTCACAATTGGCGAAGGCATCGAGTAATATATAATAAAATACAAGCAAATTAGGAATATTCACATTTTTGAAGTTGTTTATTATAGTTTATTATAGAATAATTACTTTCGTATAAAGTTTTGCACTAATTGGTTAGAACTCGCCTGGCGAGTCGATTCGGTTATTATAGCAGTGCACAGCCTGTACGGCCGGACTCGCCACGCGAGTCAGTACGACCCATACGCCAATAAATACGAGTAGGTACTAGTTATTACATTCCACACATTTTTCTATCATTCTAATAAGCTATTCTATTATATCGAAAGTATTAATTGAGATGTATTTTTTTAAATTAAGTTACCAAATAACTTCTAACGAGTAAAATATGTGAGTCTTTTATAAGATTATTAGAAAGCTTGAGCGCCTATTCGAAGTACTTGCACCATATCAGCGCGCTAGACGGCGCGTCGTTGTAACATTAATGTTGTTTATGTTACATGACCTTACGCTAAAATATTATATTATACTAATATTAAAGCTATATAGTGTTGAAGTAGATATATAACTGTATTATATTAGTTTCGAAATCGAGCTGGGCCAAACAAATAGCTGAGGTAAGTCATTTTGTATTTTTTTTTGATGGATGAAAATAGTATGGTAGCTCCGCCTGCGCTAACGTGATACGCTGGCGGAGCACCAGTGAAGGGTGATAGATGAGAATGAAAACCAGGCCAGTTAGCCCATCATGATGAATTCATCAGGAATTAACCATGATAGTTTCCAGGGGGAACCGCGAGGAGGTCGACCTGGTTGGGTATATTGCTAGCAATGGGATTTTTAGTCTCCATTACTAACAATCCCTTTCCCCCCAGTCATTCTGTATTAGCCACACTTCAGTACAATAATAGTTTAAAGCACTTTTTCACAATTTAAATTAATATTACACTTGTTTAAACACTTATTCTCCCCATTATTGATTATGCTGATGTATGTTATCCTGTTCTTACTGAAGATCGACTTAAAGTGAATCCTCTAATTCATTTCGTCTTCTGTTAGCGTAAATACTACCACGTGTCTTTATAAAGATCTCAGCTTTTACGTCAACGTAGACAATTGAGGTTGCTTTGCAATATTTTCTCTATTCTCACTGACCCCGTATCACCAGAATACTGTAAAATCTTAAAACCTTACGACTCTGTAATTGCGCTACCCATTTACATAAAACAAATGTCTAATAAATTTATTTTTAAAAGTCTACGAATCTTTTATGAAGAAGCTATGAAAGTTCATCATCATCTTCATAATTATCACCTTTGATCCTCTGTGGTTGCTTTGTTAAAGTATATTATTGTGTATGTATTTATATTTATATTTGTATGTATGGTTTTGTCGCTGTGTGATTCTGGCATAGAATAGGCCACCCCTTCCTTTCCCGTGGGTGTCGTAAGAGCCGACTAAGGGAGGGCGAGGGATGGGCAGGGTGCCTCTTAATATACCTCTAAAAACCTAAGTGCGACTGCCAATCCGCCAGCCTAGCGTGGCAACTACTGGCAAAACTCCCCTTATAGGGAAGGCTTATGTTCAGCAGTGGACAGTTAACGGCTGAAATAATAATAATAATAATGTATGTCTTTATGATATATATTTGTATATGTAAACAATATTTGTTTAATATACTCATGTAAGTGTATTTATATGGTAATAATGTGCAGTATTTGTCCATTGTATGTGTTATATAATTTGTAAGTCAATATATATATAGGATACGTCTGTGACGACTGTTTATCTACAACAATTTTGAATTTTTCACCGCATAATTACATTTCTGTTTCGCTAGAGGTTGACTGGGAGAGAATGCATTTTTTTTTGTATAAAATGTGCAAGCTCTATAAGCTAGCTAGCTATTTTACGTAAAGGATTCATTGTCCGTAAGATCCAAGATCTCATTTAAAGAAAACCATTGTTACTTGTTGTAAACTTTTAAAATATATTGATTTAAATAAACAATAATTACTGTTATTACAATGGACGTTATGCTCTATTATTGAAGGTATATCTATTGTTACTATTTAGTTTTCTATTAGCAATTGTAGGTAGATATTAGGTTTAGTGAAAAAAAATTTCTTTTATTACTTATATTCTGCGCCGTCGATTTATTTTGGTGTGTTTAACATCACTAACACTACATAGTATAAAACAAAGTCACTGTCGCTGTCTGTCCGTCCCTATGTATGCTTAAATCTTTAAAACTACGCAACGGATTTTGAAGCAGTTTTTTTTTTTAATAAATAGAGTGATTCAAGAGGAAGGTTCATATGTATACATGCATAATATAGTAGAGAAATACTGATAAATTTAGAGTTTTCTAATGTGATGTCGTAAATAAACGCATTTTTTGCGCTTACATTGCAAACGCTGGGTGACTAAAGTATTGTACACCTTAAAAAGGTTAACAAAAAAGTCCGCGATGGTATATGTCTATCTCTCAAGGATAACCCACAACAATCATTTTTTATCCTTTATATTTCATGGAAAACAATGGCTTATTTACGAAGTGATTTTATGCAATACAGCATTAAGTTTTATCCAATTAAGTACCTTCAATATATTGTCCATTTAATATAGATCAATATGGCCTTTTACAGTATGCGATTTAAATGAATATTTCCGAAGATACCAGGTCACTCAGAAAGTATTGCGAGAAAAAGTTTTTATGTACCTATGTGAGACTGGCCAGTTATAATTTATTTAAAAATATGATTACTTATAAGTAAAAATAGGTACGTTCTAAATTCAAAACTTCCCCCCAAATTTTTTGCAAACTAATTAAAATTACCGTGTCTCATTGAAAAATGTATTTGCGAGAACATTTTCGCGATATGATTTTTTACGATTTTAAGTGTCGCTTGAAACCAGAGGAATCGTACGATAGACTTCAAATGGCATTCATGGATGAAGGCCCTTCTAAGGCAACCGTGTATCGTTGGTATAATGAATTTAAGCGCGGTCGACTAACTTTGGGGGATGAAGAAAGAAGTGGTCGCCCTTTGACGGCTGTTATGGAAGAAAACGTGTTAGCAGTGAAAAATATGATCCAAGACAATAGACGAGTTACATACCAAGAGATTCGGCATATACTGCAGATTGGATCAGGAAGCCTTCACGAGACTTCACTTCTACACGTGCATCTACGGGTGCGGAGGATAGGTTTACGCTGGGTGTCGCGCAACCTCACCAATGTTCAGAAGCAGGCAAGGGTGGAATGGTGCCACGATATGACAGACAAATTTGAAGCAGGCTCGTCTCGGCGTGTTTACGACATCGTTACAGGTGATTAATCCTGGATTTATCAATACGATCCAGAAACAAAGCGCCAGTCGACGGTTTGGGTGTCTCAAATAGCCTCTTCCATGGGGGGGGGGGGGGGGGGAGGTTTGCCAATAGTTGCCACGCTTGGCAGGCGGGTTGTCATCCGCAGTTATACTTTAGATATGTTTTAAGAGGGACACTCCTGTCCATCCCTTGATATGCCTTAGTCGGTTTTTACGATACCCACGGGAAAGGAAGGAATGCCGGAGTCACACATTCTATGCCGGGGTCACACGGCAACTTGTGTACCTTAATGTTTATAAATAGTAACTTAACAGCCGAAGGAATTAAAAAACCGAAATTTACTTAACACAATTTATTAAAATATTACATTAAAGGAAAACAAAATATAATTAAATTTAACTAGTTGACTCTGTAGATATTAGACAAGAAGTGCTTGTTGCCGAGGTGCGTTGATCCATCACGTGGTCTGCTTGACTTCAATGCTGGGCATGTATCGCTGCATCAGCTGTTTAGATTGCCGTCCGTCCAAAGTTCGAAGTTTATCCTTTATTGGGGTCATGCGTGTTCAGCAGTCCTCGTGCTGTATGATATCGTAACACAATTGATATTTTTTTTATGCAATTTATAATGGCAAAGATGACGGCCCACATGATGGAAAGTTGTTACAGTTATAGACATGAGCAGTACCATCGACATAACAGAGTATATTGTTTCGCTCATGATACCACCTATGCGTTGCTGAGGACTCAGGTGTTATTCCTCTGTGCCCTGTAAATTCACTGCCATATCGCACCCTTCAAACCGAAACACAGCCATGTACATTCACGGTA